CCACAGAAGGCACACCAGTCGTTCACCACCATCCCAGCAGCAATTACCTCACTGCCTCGGTTCACAGTGCCCGCCTGCCAAGTGATAGCTCAATATGGATCATGGCATCAACAATCAAAGTTTCTCCTATCCCTGATGAGAATACTCCCCAAACCCTGCAGCCCCAATCCCAAACTGTGATGGGTAATAACCCCAGTAACCTAGCATAAAGGGATCTGCTTCAGCAGGAGACAGAGGTGAGAGAACAAGAATGCTTACCACAAGGGGGACCTGAAGGAGAGAGGACAGCTCATCCTGGTCTTCAATTGAAGTCTTGGGATGTACCAGCCCTCCCTGATTGCTGAAGACACAGTAGCTTCCTACTAACACCTGGTCAGCCACTGTCTGTCTGAAGACTTCCACCTTGAGCACATCAGCCAGGATTTCTTCTGTCTCCTGTCAGTCAAAGGTACTGTACTCAGTGCCCAGGGCCCTCCATGCCAAGAACCACCCAGGGCTTGATGCCCTAAGCCCCTCATTCCTCTCCTACATAGCTGCATATGGAAGCTTCACCCAGAAAAAGGAGGGGATACAGCTTGGAGCAGAGTCAAGGCCAGCTACGGAGCCCCTAATATCCATGTGTGCCCTGAACAGCCAGGGGATGGTCTCCACACCACCCTTTAACACACACTCAAGAGTTCAACTGTCAATCATCTCTCCTGGCCCTGGCTGTAGGACTAGATGGGTCAATCTCCCTGATTCTGAAGGATTAATACCCTTCCTAGCTTCTTTCTGACACTGACCACACCATGAAAGGCCTCTATTATCACTATTTCAATGAGTGCCTGAAATGCAAGACCACAGGTATAAAAAGAAACCACAAAAGATACCCCTGATTCCTGCCTGATAAGCAAGAACAGTGGCTAACCATTTACTAGGCTAGTCCTGTCACTCTTGGGCCAAGCTAGGTTGCCTTACCCTGTCTAGGTCTGGGTGGACCAAGGCCACATAGTCATTGCAGGTGGTGACATTGCCCAGGGCTGAGAGCCGCTCCTCTACCCGCCGGATCTGCACTGAGTCTGGGAGGCAGTTTCGAATATGTTGCAGCTCCTGGTCGGTGGTGTTGCTGGGCACCAGGAGACCATGCCTGTTCCCTGGAGAGACCCAAATTGGGAGGTGGAACAAGGAAGGACCATGAATACACAAGAGGCCTGCTGAGCCCTGGGGGCTGAGGATACAACCCAGCCCTATTAGCTTTCCCAGAAAAGCTTTAGGCCGACTCCAGCCCTCTAACCTATTGATTCATACAACAATAAGGAGTAGGAGTCCCACTGAGCAGGACAGATAGCCTAGGAGTCTGTCCCAAAACACCCTACCCACTTTGAAATTATCAACCAGGGTGACCAGGAATAGCAGTAAGGGCTCTTGACATTAGTTGTGTATTTTACTACTTAAAAGATAACACTATACACACACCAGAATGGCTAAAATTTTAAAAAGAACATCAATACCAAGTGTTGGCAAATATATGGAACAACTAACAGTGGTATAAATTGGTAACCACTTCAGGTAATTATCTGGCATCACCTACTACACTGAATATTCACATACCCTGTGATCCAGCCATTTTCTCCTAAGTATTATTTATCCAACAGATATACATACGTGCATTCACTAAAAGATACATCAGCACTATATAAAAGATCAAACTGAAAACCACCCAAATGCCCACTATCAATAGAATGGGTAAATACATTGTGGTATACTTACATGAAATGCACTATACAGAAACAGGAATGAACAAACTACAATTATGTTGTGACAACAATGACTAAACCTCTGCCTCCCTCTACATGGACACAATTCTGTGAACTTTTGAACTCTGTTACTCCCATCATAAAAAACAAACAAACAAACAAACAAACAAACACACCAGAGGTCAGGCTAAATTCTCCTGAGTTACATCAAAACTTACTTCAAGTCCTTAAGTCATGTTAAGAATAAGAGTGTTGCCCAGCCGGGCGTGGCTCAGCGGTTGAACATCGACCTAGGATCCAGGCGATCAGGGTTCTTTGATTCCCGGTCAGGGCACATGCCCGGGTTGTGGGCTGCAGCCGATCAATGACTCTCTCATCATTGATGTTTCTATCTCTCTCTCTCCCTCTCCCTTCCTCTCTCTGAAATCAATAAAGATATATTAAAAAAAAAAGAAAAAAGAATAAGAGTGTTTTGCCTTAAGGAAATACAGTCTGGCAAGTGTGGCTCAGTTCGTTGGAGAGGTCTGCTGTAAAACCAAAAGGTCGAGGGATCGATTCCGGATCAGGGCACATGCCCAGGCTGCAGGTTTGATCCCCAATCAGGGTTCGTTCGGGAGGCAACCAACTGATGTTTCTCTCACATCAATGTTTCTCTCTCTCTCTCCCCTTCTAAAAAAAAAAAAATCAATGAAAAAGAAAATACTCAGGGGCTAGTATTATAAGGATTATGGTAAAAAAAAATAAAGGAACAAACTCCTATATGAGCAGAACTAGAAATAAGGGGTGGCAGTAAAGGTAGACAGATCCGGCTCAAAGAAAGAACCAAAGGCAAGAGTCAATGGTGCTGAGAGGTAGGATAGGGATGCCACTCAAAGACATGGGAATTTAAGATTTTTAAAAAATATATGTTTTTACTTATTTCAGAGAGGAAGGGAGAGGGAGAGAGAGAGATATCAATGATGAGAGCCATCCCCCCCCCTCACTGGGGATAGAGCCCACAACCCCAGCACATGCCCCAACCAGGAATTAAACAGTGACCTCCAGGTTCCTGGATCGATGCTCAACCACAGAGCCACACCAGCCGGGTGGGAATTTAAGATTTAAGTGAATAACTGAACAGGCTGATCTAGAATCTTAGCTTGTCATTTTAGAGAGACAGAAATGGACACCCAGAAAGAAAATGCAACTGGCCCAGAGTCGGTAACAGGGGAGAGAGCATTCTAATCTTGCCTCACACTAGGTGTGGCACCTGGTGAGTCACTTAGGTTCTATAAGTCTCAGCTTTCTCATCAGTCAAATTAAGCCAATAATTCTTACCTCCCAGGGTCTCCGTGGAGAAGGAGCGCAAACGAGTGTAAGAGTGAAAGCATTTAATGTTATTTGTAGTGACTATGATCCGAAGCCTTCCCCAGAGGTTGTCCCAGACCTGCTGATACTTTGCCTTAGGCCCAGGCCTCAGAGATTCTATGATAGATGAATGCCTGGAAATCCCTGGGTCACCGGGGTCCCTTCCTGGGGTATAATTAAAGGTGCTGGGAGGCTCCACTCCCTCCCTCCCGTCTTCCTCCCGACTTACCCACACACATACGCCCGATGATGCGGCAGCCAGCAATGGACGCGTGCACCACGGGGATGGTCTCGGCGAGCTCACCCTCGAACACGCTGTAGGAACATGGTCTCGGGGTCACGGGGCCTGAGCCCTCACTCTGCCGGTGTCCCCGACAACCAGCACCCCTTCCCGCCACCCATCCACACACTGCCAGGGGCTCAGGGGCTCCCGCCGCACCTGTAGAAGTTCTCTGACCCTCCGATGGCCACCAGACAATAGGTGTTGGTGAGTTTGGCAAAGCAACCGATCTCACAGTTGTTCTCGAACGACGCTCGAACCGCCATGAGGCCTGGGGGCGGTAGGGCCGGGAGTTCAGGGCCGGGTGATCCTCTGCGGCCAGGGTCCTGGTTCCCCCGCCTTGGCCCTGCAGGCCCCAACCGCCACCCCACCCCCTAGGCCCCACTGCGACCCCACCCCTCGCGGCCCCTCAGGCCTCCGGTCCAGCCCTCTGGGCCCCTCCGAATCCTCCAGCCGCCGCCCCCTCATGACCCCCGGCGCCCGAACTGACCCTTCCGATCGCCCTTCCCTCAGACTCAGCAGGTAATCACAAACTCCACACGCAACCTCTGGGCCTTCTTCGCCCCAAGCAGGTTTCCACTTCCGCCTCCGCCTAGGAGACTTCCGGGAGAGCCAAGCGCACCAAGCCTCGCGTCAGCCGCTCGAGCTCCACCCTCTGGGAGGACTTTATGTTTGCAACCCCTCATGTTGTGGCGCCGCCTGGCTCCGCCCCCAGAGTGCTCACATCCGTCCATCCGTCCGTCCGTCCGTTCATTCATTCATTCATTCATCCACCCATCCATCCATTCATTTGTCCGTCCATCCATCCATCCATCCATCCATCCATCATTCGTCCGTCCATTCATCCATCCGTCCGTCTATCCACCCACCCATCCATCCATTCATTCTTTCGTCCATCCATTCATTCATTCCTTCAGGAACTTTCAGGAGGTACAATCGACGGAGACTTGAGGCTGGTAGGCTGTGAGGTATAGGAGAGGGGGAGCCAGGGGTGTCTCACAGGTGGGTTGATGGAGGAATTTACTGAAATAAAGCCTGAAGAGGAAGAGCAGGTGTGGGGGAGGTGACATGTCGAATGTGAGGTGTGAGACAGACCTCCAGGCCGGATCTGGAGCCCAGGGGAGAGTGAAGAGCGAGATTTGGGGCTGAAGCCTGGGGTGCATGAAGTCACCCATGAGGGTGAGACCAAGTGAGAAGTGAGACCAGGTCAGAGGCTGGAGAAGGAGGCGCAGCCAGAGAAGGAGAGGAAACAGGCTGAAGAAGGTATAGAGAGGGGAGGATGGATGAAGCAGGGCCTTAGGGAGGGACCAGAGTGGGCAAGGGAGTGTGGCTGACTGGCTTCCACTATGTGCCCCTTGCATGTGCTTGATCACTCACTCAGCAGCCACTTTCTGTCCCTGGGATAGATGGTGCCAGCCAAGGGACAAGCACTTCTGAATGGGACATATTTGGTGCACATTTTGTAGGATCTACAAAAGCCACAAGAGCTCTCAGAATGTCACAGTGAGGGCACCCACACTCCTCCTGTGGCCACCCACACTCCTCCAGGGAGCCCTGCATAATTGCCCTAAATGGTGCCCTTCCCCTGCCCCCAAGGCGCAGCTCCATAACACCGCCTTCCTGGGGATACACCAAGCTGCTGTTGGGGCAGTTATAACATGTCTGCTTTTATTGATTTGTACCATGTGTAACACTGTCCCAGGCAGGTGGTGAGCTCAGGAAAAGGCCCCTAAACTTGCCTCAGAGGTTGTGCTTCTAGGAACACTCAGCAAAATGTGTGTGTATGTGTGCATGTGTGTGTGTGCGCACGCATGCGCAAGTCAGAGTCTGGGTATGCACATCTTCCTCATCCTCTCCAGGTCACCTCACACCCACCTCCTCAGTCCCCTCCCTAGTATCTCTTCACCTGGTCCACTCTGCCAGGAATTCCTCCAACACTCTCCACCCATCCAAATCCTCCCCATCTTTTGAGGCCTGGCTCAAAGGGTGCCTCCTCTAAAAAATGTTCTTCCACGTTCTACTGTCACTATAACTCTCTGCCCTTCATTCTCTACCAACCTCTTTCATTGGTTTGCCTTTAATTAGGTACAACCTTGTCTTGCTGGCCAGTGATTTAGGCATTTAATCCAGGGACTGTGTCTGATTCATTTGTCAGCCCTATAGCATGCCCAGCTGGGCTGGGTACACAGCTTAGGTACAAGAAAAGTTGGCACATGTCCTGTTGTGTGTGTGTGTTTATGTGCATATTTTCAGTCTGTGGGTCCTGAGGGGTCTACAATGTTTCTGAATGCATATATTTGGTGTAGTCATTCACTCAGCCAAATGACATTAATTGTGTTCATGGGTGTGCCACTTGTGGGTGTGCACCCTGTTAGTATGCTATGTATATTGTGCAGGCATTTGGGGTATCTCTGTGATGTGTGCATTTTGTGTACATGGGGACATATGAATTGTTGATAATGTGGGTTGTGTCTATGCAAAAACACAATCTTAGGAGTAAGAGACACGGGTTTGAGCCCCTACTCTGCCACTTACTTAGACCTGATTCCAAGCAAGTCATCAAACTCAGCTACCACATGTATAAAATAGGGAAGATAACACCTCTGATCCTAGGATTACCTACCAGAGGTTCCGTCTTGTAGGATGTAAGGATGAAGGATGAGATATAACTGGTGTGAAGTGCCCAGCACAGTGACAAATGACATTAACTGTGGGTTCTATTTCCCCGTGTGTGTGTGTGTGTGTGTGTGTGTGTGTGTAAGCAAGAATCCTGAGCCCAGAGAGTATCTGACCTTGGCTTTTAGACACCCTCTCCTCCCCATGCAGCCTCTGCCCTAGCTTCCACCCCAGAGTCTGGGACCTGAGCAAATCTAGAGTCTCAGCAGATGAAGGAGGGACATGTCCCTGCTGGGAGCAAGGCTAGGACTCAAAGCGGCTTCGGAGAAGCTTGAACTTGGACTTGTTGCACTTAGTGATGAGGTCCAGTTTGCTGTGGCCCAGGGTCAGCCGTTTCTCATTCCCAAATGGGCCATTGCTACTGCCATTGCGATGGCCACCTGTGGGGCCCCCAGGGAGGCCATGCTCAGGTCCCTGCCTGGCACCCTGTAACTGATGGTACTTGGTGATGAGGTCCAGCTTGCTGTGGCCCAGAGTCAGCCGCTTCTCATCCCCAGAGCCCATTCCAGGCTTGCAAGCATGGCTCGGTCCCGGGAGACTATTGGGCCCAGGCCCCTCGCCCCGGAATGGGCCAAACTTTGTGATGAGATCCAGCTGGCTGTGGCCCAGGGTCTGCCGTCGCTCATCTGGACCCTGCTTGCCAGCCCTGGCTGAGTTGGCTTCAGGGGGCGCTCTGGAGCCCCCAGCCTTGGGGGACTGTACCAGGAGACCCAGTTGGCCATGGCTGTGGTTTGGAGGCAGCCTCTTATCCTCTGGGTTTCCATTGCCAATTCTGGGGGAACCTGACTCAGGGGCACCCCCAGCACCTTGGGCCCGGGGCAGGAGATCTGCCTGGTTGTATCTCTGGTTTGGAGATAACCTCCTGTCCTTTCGGGCCTGCTCACCAGGCCAAAGGGAGTCTGAGTTGGCAGTAACACCAGAATCAGGGCCTCTTGCTTCTCGGGCCCTGGAAAAGGGGACAAGGCGATCCAGCTGGCCATGGCTCTGGCTCAGAGACACCTTCTCCTCCACTGTCTCCAGGGCTGCGCCAGGTATCCAGCGACCTCGTGGGGGGGTAGGCTCCTGGCTTCCTGGGAGCCCATTCTCTGGGAGCCTAGACAGGGCTGGGACACCCCGGGAGAAGGGGAGGAGGGAGCGTGGGCAGGTAAGCAGAGGTGACCCCACTGCCAGGGTCAAGGGGCTGGTGCTATTGTGATTGAGGGCAGGGGAGGACTGGGACCATGGGGATGCCCCCATCTTGCCCAGGTTGGCCCTGTAGGGCCCTGACTGGGAGCCATGGTCAGGATCCGACAGCTGGCGTTGTAGGGAGGGCTGGCCACTGGCTTTGCGACTAGCAGGGCCTGGGGATGAGGACCCAATACCCTTATCACTGCAGCCACCGCCCCCTGGTAGAGCCAGGTAGGAGGAACGGCCCATGAGTGGGGAGTGCTTGATGCTGCTGAGGCTGGCACTGGAAGGCGATGAGGACATGGGGCTTGGGACGCTGGGCCCAAAGGCCAGGGCCACCGGAGGAGGGCATGGTGCCCTGGGATCCTCGCCGCCACAGAAGCCCTCCACGGGCCGGGACTCGGCATACAGACAGCGGAACTCCCGGTCAAAGTCTTCCACGATGCGGCCCCTCAGCTGCAGCACCATGCTGGTGTGTGCCTGGCTGCAAAGCCAGGTGAAGCTGGGGGCAGAGCGTCAGGGTCAGGAGGCAAAAGTTAGGACCCTGGGCCTAGGCCAGAGTCACAACCAGAACATACCAAGACAACTCCACCACCTCGAGGGCCCAAGCAAGGGGCAGAGCTCTGACTCCAGAGTCTGTACCAGTCCTAGCCCAGCTCCGTGTACTTGGGCACGTGGTTTCCCATCTCAGGGCCCAAACTTCCCCATCTGTAAAATGGACCAAGGGCAAGGTTCCCTGAAGTCCCACCAGTTCCAAGGTAAAATACTTATTTTCTATGCCAATGGCATTAAAGTAATCCTTCTACATAGCAACCACCGCCAGGGCCCAGCCTGGGATGTCTCACTCCCCACACTATCCCCTGAGCCCTGCACAGTGCCTAGCACGGGGCAGCTGCTCAGCTCATGTTGGAAGAGGTGGATGAGTGAAGAGAGGTTCAACGCTGCCAGATCCCAGCCAGCGGCCCACCCCCAGCCCCCTCTCCTCAGGTCCACTTGCTCACCTGTAGCTGCCTGCAACCACCTGCTCACAGTCAATGATGACAAACTTCTCCAAGGCCTGCCCCGTGAAGCGGCGGCCTCCCTTGCTGCAGTATGTGTCCCCACATGTGCTCCGTACACGCATGTTCTGAGCCAAGGAGGAATGAAGATTGGGGGGGTGAGAGAATGGGACTCAGGACACGTCTAAATCCCATGGGGTCTCTGACCTTAAAAAGCTTAAACAGCTAAACCCTGTCCCCCACTCCCAGTGCTCATTGACCACCCAACTGACTCTTCAGCCCTCCCTGACTCCCCACCCCACCCTGGTTACTGCCCCGTCCCTTGCTCACTGGCAGGTGCCCTCCATTGAGGTCCATCTTGTAGCACATCTCCAGAAAGTGGCTCAGGTGCTCCTGAGCCAGGAGCAGGTAGATGGGGACGCCACGCCGGCTAGAGGCCTCCATGAGGTCACATAGGAGCTCCATGTCGGTGAATACATCCATCACCACAGCCACCACCTGTGGGAGGGAAGGGAAGCTCAGTCTTGCCAGGGACAAGGCCTGGGGTCCCAGGAAAACAGCGCTGGATTGAAAAGCAGGAAGCCAGACCCTGCAAGAAAACCTGAACTGAAAGGCTCTTAGCCATGACCTAGCCCAGTGGTTCTTAACTTAGACACAGGAAGGTGTCACTGTCTTAAACCTCCAGAAGTTGTATGAATGTTTTTGTGTACATTTTTTTTCTGAGGGCAGAATGTGTATCTGTCATCAGATTCTCAAAGATGCCTGTGGATCAGCTGCACCAGTCTAAAACTTCACTCTACATATGGGGAAACTAAGGCCTAGAGGGGGGAAGGAGTCAGAAGCAGAACCCAGTCTGGGTCCTCACACTACCCACTAGCTCCAGCCCTAGCTCTGGCCCAGGGACTGTGTCTCTGGGATTCCCTTCTCAAGGATCACAGCTGCAAGCCACGCACTGGGTCTTCAATGTCCTTTGTCAGACCTGCCTCAGTTTCCCTGTGAAGCTATAGAGGTCTGGATGACATTTTATACCCATGGACTTCCTCACTTCCACCCATGCCAAGTGGGACCAGGTTTTCTCCTCAGTTGAGGGGCTGGGGCTGTGGCCTCCCTCATAATGGGCTGTGTCAGAGAAACCCTGAAAAACCCCTGGAGCCACCAAGCCCCCACTGTCCCTTCCTACCCTTCCCATTTCGTGCATCTGCTGTGAGAACCTCCCCTCCTAATCCAGGCTGAGAGGCAGGAGGTGCCGAGCAAAGCACTCCAGCTCCAGCCACGCAGAACTAGGTCTAAACCTGCGCTCTGCTGCCTGCTAGTGATAAGGCCTCGGGCCAATTGCTTCTCCTCTGGAATCCTCAGCTTCCTCACCTGCTAAATGGAGGCAGTGATAGCTACATCTCAGAGTTATGGGCAATTAAGTGGGAAAATACTCAACGCACAACAGAAGCCCAGTACGTGCTCCTTTCCTGCTGCCTCTTTAACAAATAGGGACACTGGGCATTGGGAGGCAGGGAGGGGAAGTCACTCCAGAGTCAGTGACAACCCAGAGCAGAAGCCTGGTTTCTGGCCCAGAGGTGGAGGGTCTGGATGGGGGGCAAGGAGGTAAGGCGCTGGAGGATGCCCTAGTACATGGCACAGGCCTGGCCAGGGGTAGGGGGAACAAGGACAGGCAAGAAAGATCAAAGGGAAAGGGGTGACCACAGCAGCCACCTCACTAATAACCCCACTCTCAGTGCCAATTAGGCCTGGCCCACCCCTGCTCCAGGCAAAGGCAGGCCGGTCAGGGAGGCTCAGAAGGTACAGGTAAGATCCCAGCATCCTGGCTTCTGCTATCAGCAACAGGCGCCCTCCGGGCTGCTCTCCCAGACAAGGGCACTGAAGTCAAGCTACCTCAAATCCTGCCTGGGATCAAGTGATTCATTCCCGTGCCTCCTGAGTCAGGGGTCCTGTGCCTCAGGCCCAGCTGGAGGTACAGTGCACAGGAGCAAGGGTTGGATGGGGACAGGCGCCAGGAGGCAGGGCTGTATCTGAGTCAGGACACTTTCCTCTCCTTCCTGAGCCCTGGGCTCTATTTCACCAACTGACTGGACAATCCTGAGCATGTCCCTGACCTCAGCTTCCTCCTCTGCAAGTCAAAGGGTGGCTCAGATTTCACCAAGGTTGGGGTTCTTAGTTTGGGGGTCATTAACCTTTTTGAGAATCTGATGAAGGCCATACACCCTCTCCCAAGAGAGATGCCGGAAGGATCCCTCTCTGGAACATGCACTACTTTGCATGCATTTTCAGGGTGTTTGTGGAGTCCCTGAGGGCCATTCCATTCTCTTCTTATCCATAATGTCCCCGAGGGCCAAGGGGTTACCAAGGTAAATAAAATACAGCTCATGCTCTAAGGGCTTGTGGTCTGATAGAGGGCAGGAGTTCTAGTCCCAGAGCTGCACCTAAACTGAGACATGTCCTTGGGCTCATCCCTTCCCTCCCAGGCCTCAGTTTTCACATCTGTGAAATTCATATCTGAAGAGATGAGGTCCTTACCGTGCGAGCCTGGCTGAAGAGGAAACGCAGAAGGTCTTTGATGTTCTTGGTCTTCTCCCGCTGAAAGTGGACCACAGCCTGGGTGGGGCTGAAGCCTGTGGCCTGTGGAATCTCAGGCCAGCCCAGGTCCAGGTCTGGGGGATCGATGTCAGAGGCCATGGGAAAGTAAGTGCCCGAAGTGACTTCTGAGAGCAGGCTGAGGCGGTCGGGCACTGAGGCCTCCGGTCCCTGGGTCTCACCAAGCTCAGGACCCCCACGCACGTGGCTGGTCATGTAGTCCACATCCAGGGCACTCAAGAAGGGCAGTTCCCGCTCCTCGGAGATGACCCGCAGGTAGGCGGCCTCACCCCGCTCCAGGAGGGCGTCAGCCGCCAGACGAGCTGCCTCGCTGTGCTGCAGCACCAGGGGTGAGCTCTCCCGCCACCAGGGCCGCTTCAGTTCCTCTACCCTGCCCCGCAGGGGTCCTGCCATGCCCTGGGCTCCCAGGCCCCCAGGCCCCAGGCCTCCAAGCATGCCTGCCCACCAGGCTGCGGTCACCCTCCAGTGGGCTCCATGGCCCGTACCCCAGCTGGCTGCAGCAGGAAGATAGCAGCAAACCCAGCTCCTGTCTGCCTGCCCCGTGTGTGGCAGGGCCCCCAACCCGTTGCCGCCCTAAGTCAGAGAACTATGCTCCGCCCCATTGCCCCTGGCTTCTGGAACCTGTTGGGTCAGCCTCACCTGTCGGCCTGCTGTCGGGACTTGCCCTCCCAGGAGAACGTCAGTGGTAGGCCCTTACATACTCCTGCCCCCACCCCCACCCCAGCACTGCCTGCCCCATCCACACCAGCTCCTAGCAAGTCTCCTTTAAACCCTGACCTTCCAGAGCCCTCCGGAGGTTGTATCATGTCCCTGCTCAGGGACACACACACACACACACACGCACGCACGCACGCACGCACGCACGCACACGCATAGCCCAGGGTGGATGAATGACTCAAGGCACCAAGAGAAAGATGTGAATGAACACACAAGCATGTAGGTTGACTGACATACTTAGAGTAGACAGACATACAGACAGACTACAGGCTGACATGTGCAGACCACACATTTTGATCACATGTAAACAGACCCAAACACTAGTTCAGAGACTGGCCATAACTCTGAACACACCACGATGGCTACTACAAGCCCAGCACACCTGCACACAGCCCGAATAAGAGCTGAGGAGAGTGTCACAGAACTGCCAAGGACGGACGTGACTTGTCTGTCCCCATCTGGGCCTTTCTTTGTTCCCGTTTGGACCTGCCACTCTCCACTTCCATAGCTGTGGCACTCACAGCCACCTGTCCCACCTTCACCCCAGCTCCAGGCCCAGTCTCCAAGGGTCTAGAATAGTGGCTGTCTCTACAGTTCCCAAAAATAGCCAGATGTGTTAAAATGCAGATTCCCCAGGCTCCACCCACCTGGGATTCTGATCCAGGTCTGAGGAGGCTTCTGGAGCCTGTCTTTTTAACAGGTGACAGACACGGTGCATCTGGGGCAGCAGGCTGAGGCCCACCCTGAGAAATGCTATTCCAGGTGGCTGCACTTCCAACACCCTCCACCCCCTGGGGGGAAACCAGACCACAGCCTTCCTCTCCGCCTCAGGAGCTGAGTATTAAATAGTGAGAAAGATTGTTCCAGACAATGTGAGAGGTGGAGGGGAGGGAAGCACACTGCAAAGTCAGGAGACAAACAGGGCTGGTAGGTTTCTTATCTCTGCTCCTAACATGGGCCAAAGTCCCAGAGTCTTCAGGATCATGGGTGGGAGGCTTTGCTCAGATGGCAGCTAGTTGGGGAGCAGGCCAGGCAGAAGGGATCACAATGGTGCTGTGCCAGCTTGGGGGACCACTTTCTATGGAGGGACAAGCTCCAATGAGGATGGCCAGGAAACCTCACGACCCTGTTAGTACTGATGGCAATTGGTTTATCTGGTCTGTGGTCATGTCCAGAGCACAGGCTCTTTTATGTCCAGTTTCACACATAGCCCAACATGTGCACAGGGGTTAGGGAGTAGGCCCCCAACCCCCTGCATCAAGCTGGGCCCTGTGATCAAAGATAAATGGGGTTGGGTTTTGTGTTTAAGGAGTCTAGAAGGTGGGGAGGGACAAGGGGGCGGGAATGG